TGGCAGAGTTGTAGGTGGTAGCATTCTGCACAGTAACTACTAATTACTCTTTTTCATGAGCAAAGTAGTAAAAGACAATAGGAAAAAGATGTTCTGAACACGGGTAAAGACAGAAGGGCAGGATGTAAAACTTCAAGAGTGTCTGAAAACTTTTTGAGGAAAACGTAAAGCTCCTTTCAAACTGAGCCAGCCGTCTTTCATTCACCCGTAAATCCTGCCGAGAGAGACTGATCAGTTCCGTTACAATGTGCTGGCAACAGGCACTCTCCAAATGTTGTTTTAACACGTAAAAGAGTCCACTGAAGGAAATAACATTTGTTATTTGGAGTACAATTTCATGCATTAATCTTAATTCTCTGCGGCCTCAGAGTATTAATTTGTTGGTAACGATTGCTGTGGAGGGAATGGCAGCCGTCTGTAATGCTGCTCATCTGCATTGTCCCACTTCTGTCCGGATACTGAACTATTTACATCGACTAATCACTGTCTGTTACGGAACGTGCTCAATTAGGAAACCCTCTATGACAGTGTTTAAATATACTTAATCTCGTAAATGTTAAATTAGCAGTGTTTGCCGTAGAAGATCTAGGAAGGCAGATGTTTAGCTTACCGGTGAGTTCAGAGATCACTTAACAGAAAATCTAAGGGGAAATGTATGGTTTAGCAATTGCTTGTGGAAATCATTAGCATTTTTTTTGGACATCATGCAAATGAGGCAGATCTTCTACACCTGGATAGTTGTGCTGTTTCCAGAGTGCAAGGCCTTTGAAGGGTCCGTGAAGACTGGCTGGGCTGCGTAATTCTGGATGGCCTTATGCCACACAGGTGCTAGATACCAACAGCTCCTACTCCTACTGCCTGGTGATCATCACTGACACTGAAAAAACAACTGGCAGATTTCTACAGTTTTAAAGATCCGTTTCAGAAAGAGCATCTTTCTCATGTTGAGGGAGAGTTCCCTTTTCAGAGTGAAACAAAAGCAGACACAGCAACGGGCAGTTAAAAACAAACTCGTGGAGTTTGACTTTGTTGAGGGAATTCAAGGCAGATTTTAGGAGAGACAAAGCTCTCCTGCATCTGTAAACTGTTCATTACACTGCAAACTCGTCTTGTTAGCATCATAGTAGTATGTAGAAATCAGATTCAGGTTTTATTGTACTACACGTTGTGCAAACAAAGTAAGGAGGCGTGCCTTCTTCAGTGAGGTTAAAACAATCTCAGGGATGGATAAATAAATAAGTAGGCATAAGGAGGCATAGCAAATGGGTAGCAGAGAGAATGAAAATTAAAATGAGAGGAAAGTAAGCTTATGCAAAGTTTGCAAGGTTGGCATTCTGTTACTGCATTGGAAAGATTACAGCTATCATATTAGCTATAGGCATAGATTTCTAATAGTGTAAATGAATAGAGTGGAGCTGGCAGAGGCCTGTATTTTTCTCTGCGTTTTCCCAGTGTTGATAGGTTGACTTGGCAGCATTATATAATATGTAAGAGTCTTCTTACTATGGGAGTAAATTTAAAAAAAAAATAGGATTCGAAGTGATCAGTAGGGCACTACACCCAGATGTAATCTGTGCAAGGTTAAGCGATGCAGTGTAAGAGGCTGTGACTATGACAGCACCTGGTAGCTGTTCATATAGATTAAAGTATTTATTATTCATATTTATGTAAAACCTGAATTATTCTAGGCCATGTAGTAGTCAGAACAGAAAGGATATCTTTTCTTGATGTTTAGAGAGCAAGGTCTGGGATTCATCTTGGTTACCTTTACCAGCTCTGAGGTTACATGTCTCATGTAAACTTCTCACTTGAGGCTTTGTCTGTAATCAGTGAAGAAATACGGGCACCTTCAAAGCACTATTCATCCCACCTGCCTCCAGACAGGTGTTTTAATCTGCCTTTTTCTTTCACTGAGGGTAGAGGGAGCCTTCATCACCAGCTGACAGTAGACACGTAATTTTTGACATTTAAATTTAGGTGGGTGAGTTCTTGTCCATAACAACTGACATGAGTAAAGGCCAGAGACTTCAGTCCTCTGTACAACAGCCTAACAAACTCTCCTTGTGGTTTTGAGTCAGCTATTTCAACAGATATTTTCAAAATTAGCAGAACTTGTTAAAAAGCCTGGCTCTTGTCCATCTCCCATTTCCTCCTCCAGGAAGTATTACTTTCCAGCCTCTGTGGAGAGATCTGAAATTCATTAATAAAATGCAAAATAACATCATGCAGTAGGATTGTTGTTTGTTCAGCTTCTAGTGGAACCAAAGTGTTTCTGAAAAAGAAAAAGCCCAAGTAAAAATATCTATAGCACAAATACACAGCAGTTCCTGAGACTAATATTTTATGGTAGGTGGGGGACTGTTACTTCTGTGTAACTTCCAATAAGTCATTTTCTTAGTTTTGTGCCCTACCTTTCTGGCATACCAATGAATTATCAGGATAGCCTATGAGGCTTTCAGGTTAGAGTTAACCCTAAACCAAGTATTTTTTTTCTCAGATGTGTTATTGTACTGATATTATTAGTCCCATGTCTGCTAGCCTCTGGGTATTTCCCTTCCCAGGACCATTATCAAAGCTAACTCTGGGTATGACTATGTTATAAAAAATACAGTATCAGTGGGAAAAGAGAAAAAAAAAAAAAAACACATGAAAATCTGACAGCCACCTAGTATCGGTGCTGGGTCACGTGAAGAATAAAGACTCCAAGGCCCATTTCAGCCTCCTTCCTGGTGCTGGCTGTTTTCCTCCATGCTCTCTTGTTCAAGAGTTTTCTGCTGCAAGGCTACCGCAATTGAAGTGAAATTGCTGTCTGAAATTCTCACTGTTAGGGGGTCCGGATGTCTGGTTCATCCTCCCTGGATGTCCTTTTATCAGTCAGTGCTAGGGAAGCCATCACAGTTCCCCACAACTGCAGTAGTAAGCTGGATAAATGTATGATCAAAAGAGTGGGTTTATTGCTGTGTTAGTTCCTCTGCACTGATCAGGTCCAGGGCTGCTTAATAGGTACCCACAAGCAGCTTTGATGACATTATTTGTTACCCTTTATATTCCCCTTTTCCCACCCCCATGCTTTTTCTTCTACCTTGTTCATGCACTCCCAAATAAACAGCCTGTCCCTGTTTATTCATTTCCCACTAGCTTCAATGTTGCTGTTATTATTCAGTATTTATCATACGGTTGCCCTAGTAATTTCTGCCTCGGTCGCAGTGCTGTTAAGCTAGTACCCCTGTTTGCGCAGTTTCCTGGGTTGCTATCTCGTTATTGTAGCCTCAAGTCAAGGTTAGACATCTGCATATGCATTACTCCCCTTTTGCTATTTGTTATGCCTGATAATTTCATAGAATCACAGAATGGTTTGGGTTGGAAAGGACCTTAAAGATCATCTAGTTCCAACCCCCCTGCCATGGGCAGGGACACCCTCCACTAGCCCAGGTTGCTCAAAGCCTCATCCAGCCTGGCCTTGAACCCCTCCAGGGATGGGGCATCCACAGCTTCCCTGGGCAACCTGTTCCAGTGTCTCACCACCCTCACAGTAAAAAATTTCTTCCTAATGTCTAGTCTTAATCTACCCTCTTTCAGCTTAAAACCATTACCCCTTGTCCTCTCACTCCACTCCCTGATGCAGAGTCCCTCCCCATCTCTCCTGTAGCCCCCTTCAGGTACTGGAAGGCTGCTATAAGCTCTCCCTGGAGCCTTCTCTTCTCCAGGCTGAACAACCCCAACTCAGCCTGTCCTCATGTGGGAGGCACTCCAGCCTGATCATCTTTGTGGCCCTCCCCTGGACTCGCTCCAACAGGTGCATGTCCTTCTTATGTTGAGGGCCCCAGAGCTGAACACTGTACTCCAGGTGGGGTCTCATGAGAGCAGAGTAGAGGGGGAGAATCACCTCCTTTGTCCTGCTGCTAGTGCTTTTTTTGATGCAGCCCAGGACACGGTTGGCTTTCTGAGCTGCAAGCGCACATTGCTGGGTCATGTTCAGCTTCTCATCAACCAGCACCCCCAAGTCCTTCTCCTCAGGGCTGCTCTCAATCCATCAATTTGCCCCCTGAACCTCGTTATTTGTTTCTTACTGACAGCTTAGTAGGACAGTAGGTAATACTTAAGATTAAAAAAAAGGATGATTCTTTGAGTTCTGGTTTGAACTAAACCCAAGTTTTGAATGAGTGTAAGGTGGGGGTTTTTTGTTATGATCCACCGCTTCTGGAAATTCCAATCTGCAGCAAGTCGACTGTACTGCCACAACAACAGTGCTATGCAAACAAGATTTCTGTTTGGGTACAAGTGAGGGGTGAACAAAGATTGTCCTTCAAGCTGTCCTTGTAGGTAAAAACAGCCCCCATGAAATTCAGCTTACACCGGGACTTTCTCAAAGAGAGAGATTTAACAAATCATTTGTCAAATGTATTTAGAAGACACAAAATATGACTTTGGGATCACTTCATTACATGTTCTTTGTTTAAATGTAGCTTTTCTACCCTGACTCAGCCGCAATTCTGTTTCTGTAAAATGTTTTGTTTCCACACAAAGTGCGGAAAAGAATTTTCAAAATGTCAGTAGGTGTTAAGCACTTAGTATTCTTAGGATCTTCTGAAAAGCCCATCTGCTATGGAAATTAATATCTAAGAGTAATTTCTGAATGGGAATTCATACAGGCGTGGCTCAGAAAAACAATTAGTGTATGTTTACCTTGCAGTGATTTCCGTAAAGTACAGATTTTTGCTTGAATACTTTATACAGTGAGGCATGATTTCTTGAGCTGAGGTTGTACTCATTACAGTTAATAAGATCAATATATTGTTTCCTTATTTTGAATTTTATTTGCTCCTTCCTCTACCCCATTCAATTCTCAGTGATGGAAAATAGATTCATTCATTTAATTATTCATGAAGTGGGTCCTGTGTGATTGTGTTATTCCACACCCTGTGGGTTGGGCTGACTTTTTTTTTCAGTTGCTTTCACAAGAGCATGTCCCCTCTGACTTTTGCTGTCCTATCTCCTAGTGCATCTTGTGGACATCTGGAACGTGATAGAAGCCTTGCGGGAAAACGCACTGAACAACCTGGACCCCAACATCGAACTGAACGTGGCTCGCCTGGAAGCTGTGATTTCAACTATCTTCTACCAGCTCAACAAACGAATGCCGACAACCCACCAGATCAATGTGGAGCAATCCATCAGCTTACTGCTCAACTTCTTGCTAGCGGCCTTTGATCCGTAAGTCTGCCTTTCTTCCCTCCTCTTCCGACTGGTGAAAGGATTTTACTTGCTAAGGAAATATCTTTGGAAAAGAATTGAACAAGCTAAATTCTGACCCAAATAATGAGCATGTGAATAGTGCTAACTAGGGAGAGAACCTAAACTAAAGACCTCTGTTTTTCTTTCTGTCGAGCCAAATTCAGCACAACTGTGTTTTCATCCAGTTACTCAGATTTATTCCAGTTTATATCAAAGAAGAATTATCTACAGAAACAAATTTACATCCAGTTCTAATTTGCCTTGTTATTTATTGACACACCAGTGGCTGACACCACTGCAATGCCTCTGCAGCAGTGGCATGGGTTAATAGCTCATTATTTTGAAAGAGCTCATTTTCCTGCAAGTTCTTGCAGCTGTAAGCAATTTTTTTTTCTGGCTCATGCCAGCACAGCATGATTTTGAGACCATGATAGAAATAGGATAAAGACCTGGAGGTGATGCTGAAATTCATGTTGTTTATTACTGGTATTACTGCGTATTACAAAAAGGACAAGTTTGAGAAAGAGCGAGCCACTTACCTTAACGCGTATAGTGTGTATACATATTACAATTTCTGAATACAATAGTCATCAACCTGTACTGCAATATTTGCAATCCTCAAAACTGGATTATTGGAGAACAGTGGTTAAGTCTGACAGATGCAGATGACCTATTGCCTCTTTATGGCGTATATTTTGAAAATTCACCAGCTGAAAGCACTGGCTATGACATGTTAAAATAAGGATGCTGCCCCTTTCCCCCCTCCCTCTTTCCCATCCTCCCGCTTGAGGGTCCCGGTGCCGGGTACCGTTCACCTTTCAGAGGCAGACCAGCCAGCTTGGTCACCATGGCAACACTTGAGGGTCCCAGTGCTGGGTACCGTTCACCTTTCAGAGACAGACCAGCCAGCTTGGTCACCATGGCAACGGGGAGAAAAAGTAGATGTTCCACATGACGAGGCTGCACCCAACCTCCCCTCCAGCCCCTCTGAGAGGGAAAAAAAGGAAGGCAATCCATTGTGAAACCATCGCCTTCGGGAATATTTTCCTCCCCTCAAGGGCAATAAAAGAAGGAACAGGCATTTTGATGTATAACGTTGTAGCTGTGGCAGGAACACCAAAGGACAATGGAAATGGCCAGAAGAATGCATTAGTGCGTGCTGCAAGCAAACTGCTTCCCAGTTGATAAACACAGGGAAAGACCCATGACTGTGGAGGCAAGACCTGCGATAACGTGCTTGGTTTGTAGCCGACTGCAACGGGGTAAAGATCTCAGCTAGACATCGGGGCTACTGGCAGCAAAATGGAGGAGAGGCTTTTAGTGCCTGGTAGGGAAGCAGGGAATATGCTTGAAGGAGCAAGGTTTTGCTTTCCCTAAAAACATCACATGTGCTGTGGGTCAGGACCTGTTTCTGGGCACCTGTAAGGACCTCGCAGGGGTGGGGAGGCTGTGACCCACATTCCATCGCCAAGCAGCAACTCGGTCTGTTGTACTGCCTCCGAGCGGGGTGCAGAGGATGCACTTCCCAGAGGAGCAGGGACACCCAAAGGACCCCCAGGAAAAGGCTGCTAGCTCTGCGGTCTGAGATAGGGACTGGCTGCCTATCACCCTGTTTTAAATGCACCAAACGTCTGCAATGAGGTTCAGGTGCAATCTGAGATATCAAAGTTCAGGCTTCATGGAGACCTCTCTTTACTGTAAGGGGAGTTTGGACACCTGTCACAGATACAGGCATGCAAGTTAAGCGGCTCATTCTCAAAATACACTGTGCCCTTTAGTGTGGTTCAGATTATTGAAGTTTTGAGTTGGATGTTGGGTTAGCAACTGCTGATGATCCCAGATTTCCCTGTTTCTGGGAAGCAAAGGGATGGAGGTGGCTCTACATGCTACGGGGATGTTGTGAGAGCTGCTGGGGTCTAATCAGAGCTCATGTCTCTGCTTCCCCTGTTGCTTCCTTCCCTCCCCTGCAGTGCAGCAGGAAGGTCCTCTGCTGAAGGCTACAAGTTTGTAGAAGGAGAAGCAAGGCCTTTTCTTGTGGTCCCGTGCTCACAGAGAGGCAATACATTGCACACAGGGGAACAGGAGGGGAACTCTGAGGCGGGAGGAAGTCTTTTTTCTCACTCTCTCCCCATTTGTAGAAACTGGACAGTTAAACTAAATTGCCTGCAATCTTCTCCAAGGAAAAAAAGGAGTTTTACTGAGTGCATGAATTGTACTGAAATCTCAAATACCAATTTTTTGGTATTTGTGGCTACACAGCAATGGCTGCTCCTGCCGTACTGTGAGCAGGTCCAGAAGAGGTTGTGCAGTTTCTGATGCCACATTTGAAATGCAAAGAAAGAGAGTGGAGAAATGGAGTCTGCAACTTAACACGTATGAAAGGACCACAAGGGACAAGTTAGTGTGTGATTTAAAGTCCCGTAAGCCTACCAGTGTCTCATTTATTTAGTTCTAGTTAATATATACTGCCCTGCATCTACTGTGCTGGCTGAAGATCCTTCAAGCTCTGAACAGAGCTGCTTCTTTCTTTTATAGCCTGCTGAAAACCAGTCAGGTTTCTCTGCCTTCTGGCAGAGTCTGCACTACAGATGCCTTCTTGGGAGCTAGAAACTTAAGAGGAACCATGGTTCAATGCTGCGGCACATGGGCCAGCTCACCCACTGCCTGTGCTTAACGTTCATCACAATTTTTTATGATTTTTTTCACAACCTTGTAGATTCGTTAGGCCTACAAATAATTATATTTCCTTGCTGCTCAACCCTGAAGCGAGGAAAAAAAATGGGGAAAAATTATAGTGTATGAGATTTCACATGACACTGACTCCAGTGCTCCTTCACACTGAGCCAAAACCAAAGTGCAACATTGTGAAACTGCAAGTCAACAAAATTCAAAATTCACAAGTAGAAATGCTGTTCAAATTCATTTGCCATTAGTCTGTGAAAATCAGCATCATGTGGTAGACGACCCCAGTAGAGCAAAACCAGTGAGAAGAATGGGACAGTCAGACTTTAAAGAACATAAACAAAAACATGCCTGATTTGTGTTATTAACTGCATGTGAAAATTGGACAATAGCTTTTACTGCAAGGTCTAAGGTGATTAACTGGCTTTATGGAATAATAGCGTACTTACTGCACTGGCACGCAGAACTTTATAAAAAGATGACAAGTTCAAACCTCTCTGAAAAATTCATCCCAGGACGGTGTCAAAACCTGTGCAGGCAGCTAGGTAGAATGTCAGCCTCGTTGGATCGAGACGTTCCCAGAAAGACTCTTTTTACATAGACTGTAAAATATTCAGTGCTAGATCATCTTCAGCACTGATTCAGAATTGCAATACAACTGTTGCTACTGCAAAGCTTAACTGACAAGATCATAGCTGATTTTTCTCTGTCCCTTGACATACCTGTCCTACAAATGGAGCTGTGAGCTCTGGGCTGTGGAACAGACCCAATCTAACCGGAGGGGCTTGACTTCTACAAAGAAAAGAGGAAATATTCATACCCTTGTTTAATCAAATGCATATTTGGATCATAATGAGTTGAATACATAAAGATGTTCAGTATCATTTGGAAGTATAACTTCTTGTTCATCCATCTTTTCAGAGATGTGAAGTGTTTAATTCCTTCTCTTCTCTACCTTTGCTAATCACTGAAAGTCATACAGGCCAGATAGCTTTTGTGAAGGGACTCCAGAAAAAAGATGCATTTCAGAGATTTGGTCATTATGCATTTTGTTCTCTTAAATGAAAGAATTTTGCTTGATTCCAATAAAATTTTCTTTCTGAAACCTGTTTGTGAAAATAGAAATTTGTGATTACAGCCTCTGACATTTCAGAATTGGCTGCTCTGATTAAGGTGGGCAAGAGGAAGCCCACAAGTAACCAAACAAATGTTGTTGCTTTTGGAAAAGATAAAGCGTTGGGGATTTTATCAGCCAGTCCGTGGGGCTTCCTTGCTCTAAGGAGATGCTGTCTGTCTCTGCAGCCGTGCATTTGAAGAGGAAACCTTCTGCTCTGCTCTGGTATCTAAAAGCATGTTTGTTTGGGTTTTTTTGCCCTTTTTTCCCCAAGCAGCAGGAGATAACCTTAAGCCCTGGCCATCATTCCTTTTCCTAAGTACTCCATCCTGTGTTGTTCCTAAGTGCACATCAGCTTCAAGGTTTGCTTTTGCCATCATTTATGCTTCTAGTGCTTTTCTGTAGGGATCTGAAGAGTAACCTCAGGAAGAGAGGTGCTATATAAAATCAAAATATTTTCTGTCCTCTCCTATTTCTGCTAGTAAGATTTATATCTCTTTGCGTTAGCCAGCCTAAAGCTTCTTTCGGGGAGCACCGACTTCAACAGAGATCTTCATGCTGCTGTGAGCCATTGCTTCCGCATTTGCTTTTCCACAGCAAACACTGTGAGGCCCCATGGCTGCCAGTCAAGGGCATCTGCAGTGCTTAGACATAGCTCAGGGTACTCTGGGATCCAAATGATATTGGTGAGTCTTGGGCCCCGTTATCCTGTCTGTTCATCAGTCATGTCTATTTATATATGCAAGTGTGTATGTTCATGCGTGCACGCGTGCGCACACACACATACACATTTGGAGGGCAAATTGAATTTATACTGGCTCTGGTGATGTTTTTATGAATACAAATGACCAATACAATATACAATGTCAAAACTAATTGGCTCAAACAGACAGATTGAAGAGATAAATGAAATCTTTTCTGTTCCTCTGTTCCGTAACTGTTTGAGTGTGGGAAAAGTCGATGGCTCTGGGCTGAAAAGCTGAAGGCAAGTTGATATGTGTCTGCCATTCAAGAATATAATCCTGTTAGTGATTGTAAATAAGCCTACTGGGAAAAATAATCTTAAATCTGAAGCACTTCCACGTAGGCTTTTTTTTTCCCTCTGATTTTTCCATTGCTTCTTAATAATGCCATTGCTTCCACTTACCATTTATTTTTCTTAAGTATAACGGTTCTTTTAAAGGCAGGTGAAAACCTCATGATGAAACAGTGCAGAAAAATTCCCAAAGGTCTAAAGGGTAGCACGCACAAAAAGAATACAAAATGACCAAATTCTCAGCCATAGCAGTGCTAGGTCCTGGTTTACACAAATTACAATCCAGTCAATGAAGGATGGAAATAAAGAAGAATGGAAATTCCTGTACTGTGATTTTAATCTTATGAAGCCAGTCAAGGAGAACGCAGTGTAATGAAAAATAAAATGTGTATGAAAGCCAGCATTAAAGGACAGAGAAAAGATTTATTTCTTAAATATGGAAGTAGCAAATTTATTTATTTTTGTCTGTATCTCTAGTTACTTTTCTGACAACAGAATCTTACATGAGTGTAAAGAATATTTAGAATTAATATTTAGAATCGTGCGTTTCACTGGTGTAGAACTAAATCCGATCACTGAACTTTAAAGATTATTAGTTAGCCAAGCTTAGGGAACTGACTCATTTTCTAAAGTCTGAGTGGCTTAATGAACGTAGCAGTGAAGCATATAGCATGCTTTAATGTACTGATATGAGTATACCATTCATGGCTAGTATAGATGTATGTTACTGTGTGAGTCGGATTTGGGGTTAGCAGAGAGAGACACACAGCTGCAGGCGCTTTGTCATTCCAGAATCAGTTTATCTTTCAGTTCTGATCAGACACGATTTTCTTCATTATGAGTGACAATCAACAGAGTAATTTCAGAAATATTGATGAAGAGTTAGATTTCTATATATTGCTATTGCCAGTGCTGTTAGACTACCTTATATAAGACATAATTATATATATTTTTCCCTGAAAGTGATTGGATTTACAGGAGAAACTATGTCTTTTTGCCCCACGGTGTAGTCCTGTGTGCATTTGGGGTTTAATAGCATTATGCATTTTGAGTTGAAAATAGAGAGCCAGGCACAGCTTGAACAAACTGTGGACAAGACTCTTCTATGTATCACAGCAAATGTCCTTTGCTCATTTTGGATGGAGGTATACTCCCCATTTTTCAGCAAAGTCCTTCTTAAAGGTTCATGTGGGTCGGGTGTATCATTTAAAAGGCAACTGTCAGGATTCATTAACGGGTACAATACACAGCTTCTGCAATTGTGTGAGCCCTTTCTGCTTTTTCACTTTTGTTACCAGTGTTGATTTTTGCACTTACTTGCAATCTTCAAGAGTGAGTGCACTTAGGGTAGGGAGGCCATGAGTGTGACTGATAGGTGCCTTCCAGTGCCACTGTAGCACAAATAGAAGTAATAATTGTCACCTTAGTGTATAATGAGAAAAACAGTTTAATAATGAGCTTCATATATGTAATAAATCTGTTCTGAGATCTTTACAGAACGATGTACTGATGGGTGTTCCTACAGAACAAACTTTGATTTTAAAAGTCTTATTTCTTTGTATGTCAATCCACATACAGTTTGCATTACAGTATATGTATGTACATTTTAAATGGAAAGAGATCCATATTAAAAAATGGATATATAAAATGTGTCTACTTTCTACTTTTGAACAGGGAAGGACATGGTAAAATTTCTGTTTTTGCTGTCAAAATGGCCTTGGCAACTCTTTGTGGAGGAAAGATCATGGACAAATTAAGATGTAAGTCTTTCTCGTGACATTTTTTACCTGTTCGTCATTGTTGTACATGGAAAGATAACGGTACAGTTAGGAAAAGAGGGAAGTAGGGTAAGTTACAGTTTCATGGCTGGGACTGGGATTTGCACTATCTGTATCTCCAAGTAAATACTGCTAAACATTTGGCTGAGTGTCACATCTGACTTCATGTTTTTGAAGTCAAATTACATGTATTGAGGTTCTGATTATGGATTTTTTTTTTTTCCTTTGGGATGATTGAATTCCAAGTACAGGTAAGTGCCTCAAATGTTCAACATCATGAAGTATAATTTAGCAATTTCTTCAGACTTTTTTTAATAACATCTCTCTTATTTCATACTCAGAAGTACAATATACTTATGCACTATTTATATTTCTTCCCGCTGGGCACATACTAATTCTGTCTATGCTGGAGAACAGATTCTCATTTCACAGGATTTATTCCCAGTTCTCCCAATAGCCAAGACATAGTTTACTTGTAGCTGCAATTAAAATACTTTCTGTTTAGTGCTGTGATGTCTGTACCTCCGGTTCAGAACACCATTTTCCAGACTTTTTGACCAAAGGATTAATGTCAGCCTTCAGTTTCCTCTGAGCCTTCTACCACAGCCAAAGAAAATTTAGTTTACAAATTCTTGTTGATTAGAGTAGACAAGTAGAAATCCCAGGTGCTAATTTATTCTTCCAGATTTGGTGCCATTTTTTAATATATTATTTCTATGTAGAAACTCACATACAGAGTGAACTTACATTATAAATTATAAATTGAACGCTGTTTTTTTCCCTAGGCTACTTTAAGAATAGGAGCAGGGTCCATCCAGCAGAAGGCTGGAGTACGATGCTGATTTTTTGGATCAGCAGTCGCAGGGTCCTGCTGTCAGAATTTCCCTTCTAGGTTCCTGGAAATTAAGCAGCTGACATGACATCCTGAAAAATAAATGTTCCTCAGTCTGTGATCTTCTGCTAAGCTTAGGATAATTTTAAACAAGGCAAAAAGTAAAGGCTGAGAGACATGAATTTCTGGAATAATAAAACCATGATATTTATGAAGAAAAAAAAAGGAAAAAATTGAGAAGAGTGGAAAGTAATGCATTTGAAAGACTTTCAGTGTCTTGTGTGTCCAAAACAATAATAATTGCTTTAATGAACTCATTGTCAAGATGTAGATTTGACATGGTAAGCAGGCTGAAGGCAAGAAGCTGATGTTGCATATCTTGTCAAATTAGATCCTTCTTATCTGGTTAAATTACTGCCTCATGCCACACATCAGACGTCACTTACAAAAAATGACCACACACAGTGAAAAAAAGTGGGAATATTTTAATATCAAAATCAGCTACTTTTTAATATGTAAATCATTCTCTTTGCTTTCTGTTGAGTTGGGTTATAATTAAAGATGCAGTAATAGCGGAGGTTTCCGTAAGCAGAACATGTTGTTAACACTTCTGGTTGAAATTAGATGATACGGAATTCAGAGCAAATCTGTAGCTCTCACTGAAGTTGCTGTGTCCTTTTCTTGTCTTTTTCCCTGTCAGATATTTTCTCAATGATTTCCGACTCCAGTGGAGTGATGGTTTATGGCAGATACGACATGTTTCTGCGGGAGGTTCTCAAGCTGCCCACGGCTGTTTTTGAAGGGCCTTCATTTGGCTATACTGAGCAGTCAGCAAAATCCTGTTTCTCGCAACAGGTAAATGGAGAGTGAGCATCGTCATCACAGGATCTCAGTCACCCTTCTGAGCAGGCCAAGACTTTCTTCCTTTCCTACACATGGGTGCATATTTGCCCAGGAAACACATGGCTGGGTGGAGGGGAGGTCCACTTCGACGATTTCTGGCATGTAGCTTGGGTGCCTTCAGTAGGAAGCCAGTGTCTGTATGTTTCCCATATAACCACAGAGGAGGGAGAGGCTTAGTCTAAAAGTGTTTCAGAGCAAGATCTTAACTTACATGTTCCTAAATTAGGGAGCCTGAGGAGACTAACTTCCTAATTTAAGCATCTAAGTTAGGTACTTACATTTCGGTGATATAAATACCCCAAAACATGCAATCCTCCACTCCAGTTAGCTGTTGTAGCTGTAAGCATATATGAGACTTTAACTTTGCCATACAAAGCTCAACTCCCACCAAAAAATCAAGCTATGTGTTTTCCAAGTGATGGTGTACACACATAAGAAGAAAATTTCCCTCACTAGGGATGAACCAGAGTTTTGAAATGAGACTCAGAACAACATACCCTATGACAGTATGATAAATTATGTTTACAGTCTTAGTCATTCTTCCACTCTCTCATATTGCATTTAGCATTAACAAAAGTTGATACCCTGGGATAAGTTGGACACTCTCTCTGTTGTTCTCTGTGTGGATCACTTTTGCTTACCAGAAGCCTTTCAGCCCCCTTTCCTCAGTTTCAGGGAAAGAAAAAATTCTGGGTATGATCTTGTGCTCACGGTGTCAAATCTGTTTCAGTTTGCATCTGAAAGGATTTTTTCTGTTGCAGAGATGTTTTATTATTCCACATTGTACTGGCTTACTTGATCAAACCATGTATTTTCCTCCATCTGTGAACCACTGCTAGATTGAATGGCTATTCAAAATAGAAACAATGATGTTTCTTCATCATCAAATTTATGGAACAGAAATGCCAGAGCAAGTGACTTAATATTTCAGAATACAAATCTGTGGCTCAAATAGGAGTTTTATTACCACCACTTTCCCCATAAGTAGGATTAGTGTGATGTTCTACTGTATTTGTACTAAAAAGGCATTATTGCTGTTATTAAGAAACCCTTATATTTTTTATCCCAAACTAAAAAGATAGACGCTAACTTCATTTTCTTAACACTTGCCTAAGTGTTACTGCACAAACCTAGACTCAATTTGCATGTAGCATATATTTAGAAAACAGCTTTCAGTTTCAACTTTCCCAGCAGGTAAAAAAAAAAAAAAACAAAAAACAAAAAAAACCAAAGAAAACCTGCAGGAGGAAAATATGCCTTCTAAAATGTATAGAAATTGCTCTGCTGGTGTCCTTTCAAGGGACGCTGCTCTCTCTGATCTATAAAGTCAGTGACCACCAGAGGAGCTTGACCATAAAGCTGTCAGTGAAGCTAAGTTGCTCCATTTGGTGCAAATCAGGTTTTAAATTACAGCTGCATTCAAAAGCCTACTGCATTGTGGAAGAGCTGTTCTTGTCTCCCCCATCTATTTGCTTGTTTAGACCGGTTGTGTGTTTGCTGCCAACCCATCTGCCTTCAAGAGCAAACTTAGAGCTACTCTGCTCTGCAGTATGGGGCACTGGAGGACCTTTCTTTTCCTAGACTTCGTTCTGACTTTTCTCCTCCTGTTCTCAGTTCTGCTGCACACAGCACAGACACTTGCTGGCAGTGCTGGTCAGCAAAGCCATGCCAAACATCCACAGCAGCTCTCCAAAACAAAGATCCTTCTCTGTGAGCTGATGCGTATAGCACAGGAAGCCTATCTGGGAGGTGGTTATCCACTCTCCATTGAACTTTCATACTGCAGGTATTGTGGGAAAAGATAGTATTTCAGTGAGATTTAGAGCTCATATTCTGGCTATTTCTGTTCAGTAAAGAATCAAGACCAGTTTCACAACTAGTCTGAAGTACTTTCTTTTCTCCTTGGGACAAATATCTTGATGTATTTCCCCATGTCTTGCAATATTTCAGCCCTGAGACTGTTACAGAGTGATATGTTTTCCATTGGTCACTCAGGGTATAAGAGAAATAATTATTTTCTTTACATCTGGTGGCGCACACACACAGACACTCCATCTGGAAATCTCAGCTCTTAAAAGCATTCCACAACAAACGGAGATGATACATGTCACTGCATAGCTGCCACTTTGCTTCCTCATGGGGTAACCACAGTCCTTTAGCAAGTTAAAGCAGTAGCTTATGCAATCAAATATGAAAATGTAGCAATCCCTTTGGATATGGCAATCCTACCTGAATATGTATGTCTAGAAATTATATCTGCACACAGTTCTCAACAGGGCTCAATATTTTTGCATCTTGATTTTATTTTAAAGGAAGGCTGAGTGGCTGATTTCTTAAGGACTCTCTGTCCTTGACCACCCAGTTGGTCTGTACTTTAGTACACACTATGTAGCCAGTATACTACATAGGAAAGAGCAAGTATTTATGGTGGAGATATTATAGGCTGAAATATCACCTATACATCTGAAAAAAACAAATGAGCTAAGGTTTGTGATTACTTTTTCCAGACACCTAAGAAACTTAAGGCCTTAGATTACATTTTTAAAATGAAGAGCGATATTTTAAAGTTTAAATCTCTTTGAAAGATAAAGGGGCATAGATCTTTAGGTGCTTCCAGGTGTGAAGAGTTTAGGAACAGCTGCAGTCCCTGAGTGTATGCAAACACAACATCCCACAATCAGAGCTCACCCATAACTAGTTGCCATCAATGAGCAGACAAGCATAGTTTCTTAAATTGCAGTAACACAAGTGCCTGTGACAGTCTGTCCTTACCTGATATTTGTTTTGAAATTATACTCCCTTGTCATTATTTTCTTTCATTTTCTTTGTTGGAGTACCATCGGTCATTCTCTGCAGTGACTTCTCATGTGAAAATTGGTAGTACATGGCGATACCCTACATACACTTGTACTTGTTATGGGGTACTCAAAACACATGAAAACATGAAGAGTTGAATGCCAACCTTATTTACAAAATATCTTCAGGCAATGACTTTAGAGGAGAGTCTTGAAGTGAGTGGGAGCTAGGAGTTGTTAACCCAGCCTTGTGAAAAGAACTGCTAGTCATCAGTAATTCCAACTACTAAAAACAGTCTGGAAAAGCTTTGCTAGTATCACTTGTTCTGTTTGGTAAACTAGGGCTACAAGCAAACAGTGCCTGAAACTTATTCCCAAGTGTTTCTGTAAGGACAAGATAAAATCATTTTGATATGTCCAATTACTGATTCTTTGTGCATGTTTGTTTGCTTGTTTGAGCAGAAAAAAGTCACATTAAACACTTTCTTGGATACTCTCATGTCTGATCCCCCGCCACAGTGTCTAGTGTGGTTACCACTTCTGCATCGACTGGCAAATGTTGAAAATGGTAAGTAAGAGCTGCTGCCAAAAAACAGTTACAAGAGCAAACTTTTCTGTGATGATTTTCTCACTCTGTAGTTGGTTTCATAGGAGCTGCTGTATTGGGTCCATTGACTCCATGCACTATTTTTACAGTCACTAGTAAAATATTTAAGGAATCCTGTTGGTCATTCAGCCAGGAACATGGCTTAATTTTTGCTATGCTCAGGAAATTATCTTGATCATGTCATCTCCTCCTGTGCTCTGGATAAGCAAAGAACAACAGGATTTGATCCATTCACACACTTACATTTGGTAAGATGTCAAGGCTACAACTTTTATTAGCTATGACATATGGCAGCAGAGAAGGAACAGCTTGGCAGTTTCTGTTCATGCAATGTTTTTGGCAGGAGATGTCCAGTGCAGTGCAAAGTAGCAGCCAAAAGGTCCTTATGAAGGATCTCCTCCTAAGCCTACACTGCCAGGCAATGTACTCTGAAAATGAAGTTCCAGATTCATCCCTGTCCTTTGTGTGTGTGGATGATGAGGATTCAACTGAGATGCCTCTTTCTCCTCAAGGGTTGCCTTTCCTCAAAATGAGTAGATGATGAATTTTAAGACAAGAGACCATGAGTATCAACTAATCTGAGTATTGCATAGTACATGTTGCATGTCCCTGGACAGTAACATCTTCCAACTTCTTGAGCACCTGGGGGAAAGTTTACAGACTCACAGAAGTAGTCCTGTTTCTGCAGAAGTTGCTGCCACACTGAAAGGGGCAGAGCTAGAAAGCCTGTGCATCTCATCTCACTGTGTGCACTGTGAAATTGCAGCCCCCAAACTCTGTACAGTTCCTCGTGTAGCTCTGGAGGAGTTCCCCAGCTCCAGTGCAGCCAGCTTCTGCTGTCCAGAAGGACCAGGACTGCCAATATTAAATAGAAAAGAACCCTGAGACAAGACATGCCTTTTTACTGTCTTGTTTGCCTGGATGTACTTTTTCCTAATGTGGCATTTCTTGATCATGATCATCAGGAGGCAATGATGCTGACAGTCATTATTCCAACACTTTAAATCTAGAAAAAGGAAGATTTTAAAATGGAGAAAGTTTATACAAAAATTTTAAAACATTAATTTAGTAAGATAAATGTATTTTTTGTTAACAATTTTCCAGCCCAATATTTTGCCTCAGAGGTTGTTGTGTAAGAGGCTTGGCGAATATTCCTGTGTTGTTGCTCCCCTCAAGGTTTACCTCTAGCGTATCTGAAGCTTTGGGATGCTGCAGAGAAAAAAAAGTGTGGGGGGGCAGGAGGAAGGAAAGATCATATATACTCGTCCTGTTGGGCAATAAAAGTATTTATACTATATTTCCAACAAGAAAATGGGGTAGGTGGATGGGGGGGTCCATGGCAGCTGTTTTTTGGTGATAAAAGGAGAAGGAGGAAGTTGTACATGTTCTTGTACTAAATAAATCCCTCTTCCACTGAAAGGCAAAAGGGTGGGTAAGGTGATGTTCCCAGGTCCATCTTGGCTGCAGAACCACCTATCTACCTCACATTCCTCAAGCTCTGGTCATCCATCCCTGTCCCTCACCAGCTTCACACTGCTTCCCAGACCAGAGCATTAATCCTTCCTGCTACGAAGATTGGTCAAAGAGTTAAAACCCTGATACACTCAGCCCTGATCCAAATCCTCCCAGGCTGAACCTTATGACAGAAGAGCAGAAGGTGTCTGGGAACAAGGAGATGTATGGTACCCCATGGTGTATTGGGTACGTGCTGTAACAAGGAGGGAGGAACAGAAATAGCACGATTGCCAGGAAGGGGTTTCAGAATGTCGTGGTTGGTGCCTTAGTGTGCTCGGTGACTTGAATCCTCATTACTATCTGCTTCTGAGTGGAACAGAGAACAGGACCACGTGGGTCACTTCAATGGCCAGCTTTCCAAATCTGGGCATCCAAAGCTGTGTTCAGCTCCATAAATAGGTTACCTAAATGATGCCAGTAGTACAGACGCAACAGCAGTAATTAAGAGACAGCAACATGCCTAAGTATATTTTTGTGCTTCCAGTAATCAGAAAGGTGAGTTTGACTTCTCCTCCGAAGCACATCGCCCTAGCTCCTCACAGCACAGCAGAACACGCCGCTTCCCCCAGTAACGCAGCTGAAGGGTGCAGTGGGCTTTCCCACGTATGAATTTCTTCTGTCATGTATTCTGTTAGAACCTGAACGCATTTTTCTCTGCTGTGAGCAGGAGGTGCAGGCATCATCTGGGAATTGCTGGAGGGTTGGGGGCCCAGTGTAGGAAGCGTTGCCTGTGGCTCGGCGCATGTTGCTGGGCAGCTGCTCGAGTTTTCACAGGTCAAAGCTGCAGGCAGCATGTGATGCTGCAGGTCACTAGAAACAAAGAAGGGATTCACCCTTCAGTTCAAGGCTTTGTCTAAACTTTTGCAGGGGATTTTTCTGCTTTGATTTACGGCTTGCCATTTCTGTCTCCTGCGCAGTCTTCCACCCCGTCGAGTGTTCCTACTGCCACAGCGAGAGCATGATGGGGTTTCGCTACCGCTGCCAGCAGTGTCACAATTACCAGCTCTGTCAAGACTGCTTCTGGAGGGGCCATGCCAGCGGTTCCCACAGCAACCAGCACCAAATGAAAGAGTACACGTCATGGGTAAGAGCCGCTCGCGCCTTGCTGCAGACTGCTTTGCCCTCCAGCTGCTGGAGAAGACCCCAGCCGCAGCTCCGGGCAGCCATCCGGCACGGAGAGGCTGGGAGCTGGGCTGCCAGTTCGGATCCGCAACTCCATCAGGGAGGCTCCAGCCCTGGGAGCTGTTGGGAGAGCGCAGAGGGGGGAATGGTCTTTTCCGGGTGAGGGTCTGGGGCTCCTGTGACGGTGCGAGCCACAGGGAGGGCAGCGCAGGAGGGGCTGGCCGCAGGGTTCCAGGCGCACGGCAGCTTCTCCTGTTCCCACAGGACTCGGGGTAAAATCATGATTGGCTTGCTCTGTTTGGCTACATGTAAATGAAATGATGAATACTTAACATTCATTCATCAATATTTTCAGTCAAGTGGCTGCAGCATATGCGTAGCGCTTGGGATGGTCCTGGCACTGTAGATTTGAGCATGGTCACAGGCTTAGATCCACAGTGGTGTTTGCTGTAGAGAAAAACACACTTCAGTCTTTTCATTGTTAAACAAAATAGTTCAATGCTTTCTCTAAGCTGAAAGAGAAATATCAACAGCTACGTTAACTTTCTCTGAAGGGCATCAGACCTAGGGGCTAATCTCTCCACAGACTGGAGCAAAGCCCCAGCAGAAGCCCTTGATCACAGAGCATCCCCATCCTTCAGGGTTCAAATCCAGAGACCAGCAGAAAAATCTCAACTAATCTCAAATATTACAAAAGCATATTATTATTTTTAAAAAATCAAATTATGCACATAGCAATGACTCATGCTTGTACAGCGTTTTGTGTGTGTTTTTTAACCAAGTTCTGAAGCTTAACACTTATAAAATACCTGTTTTACTGTTGATGGAGCAGGCAAGGGTTAAATTTGATGTGATTTGCTCTGTGTGCCAGTCAAAGGGCCCTCTGATGCCTCCCAGAAGATCTGGGTCTGTAATTGTTTTTGTGTGTCCTAATTGCTGCTTGTTGCATAGGCACCAGTGGAATGGCTTGAGTTTGGTCACTGAATAGGAGAATGCCCACTACATAGCTCTGAATCCATTCCTAATAGCAATTTGTGCTATAAAATCATTTTTTTGCTGTAGCCAGGGAGCTATAATTATAGGTAGGAAGTAATCTGAAAATTTAAGATTTCTGCTCAGCAGAAGATAAAATATGTACCTACATGCCTAGTGGTTTCAAATGTTTCCTTTTCAGAAACGAATGTTTTGCTTCAAGTTTGAAGTTGCCTTTATGTAGCATTCATTAGCTTTCGTTCAAACCAGGTTAGCTTTCTCCGTAATGCGTCCGTATCGAGCTCCACATGCAGATTAAAGGTGTTCTTGGGCGCAGCAGAGCACAACTGATCTGGATTCAGAGTGAAACTGCTTTTATAATGAAAGAGAAAAAGCCTGAACTTTACATATTTAGGCTGGAATTCTGTAATGGAAATATTTCATTATTATCTTGATTATGGTCTTAACTTGATGCATGTGCACATATACAATACCACTCCTGTTAAGTTCCAAAAAGATTTCTAAATTTCAGTGTGTAGAGCATTGTTTTCAGTGGAATGAGATAATGTAAGGATCACTACCCCCGTTTAATGACAGAGAAGCTGAATCACAGAGAGGTGGGCTGGATTCCCTGAGAATCTCTCACGCAGCCTAAAAGACAACCTAAATCTCCAAGCCCTTCCTTAGAAAAGTGTTCAGCTGAAAATAGTGTCCAAACAAAACTAGAAAGCAGAAAATATTAATTTTTTTTTTTTTTTTTGGTGTCGCTGATGAGGTCTCGGGGTGAAAAGTGTGCTTCTTATGCAGAGCCTCCCCATCCTGTGGTGACAGTGACAGTACCTCAGCCTCTTCTGGCACACTGTTGCCATGATGGGGCAATTCCCACCACGCGTGTGTCTGAAATTTCCGATTCCCTGGCGCAGCAGGGGCTGCGGTGGCCACGAGAGGTGGAAGAGAAGCTTTGTAACAGCAGCTAAACAGTACAGGGTGCTGGAGCTGAGGAGGGAAATACTAGCAAGGAGAAAGAATATAGCAGCCTCGTGCCTGGCCCACAAATGAGGAAGGAAATTGTGTCCTGTACGGTGTATCTCTATGGACAGGCGTACGCAGGTTTGTTCTGCTTGCACTCCAAGCTGGTGGGGCATGAGCCAGCTCCACTCCAGGTGACACAACTTTGTGCTGTCCTTCATTCAATACGGCTGAGTGCGGCATTGCAAAGAAGCCGTGGCAA